AAGGCCTTATTCAAGACGATCTGGACACATATGGTGATCTGGTCCCCGAGGCACACCTTTGCCACCGTGCCGCCCTAACGGCCTCAGCGATGGACGTCACTGAGCAGCCGCAGGTGGACAGCATCTACCTAACTGTTGGTGTCCCTTCCTTGTCCCAAGCTAGTGCGCTTCAGGCCCCCAAAGCCGATCCTGTGGTGTTGAAATGGGGGGACGTGTATGGCGTTTGGGGGCCTGTAAGCTTTGTGGACGGAAATTGCTTGCAATCCAGCGTTCCCGAGGTCGCCAGAGCTAGGTGGGGAACCGCTCAGATCTCCTCTGGTCTGCTGCCTCGCCGTGCTGTCTACGGAACTCTCCCAGGGCCCAGACAAACCATCGGGAGAGCCGAGAGATGGGCAGTGCGGCAGGCCCTGTCTCATAATTCGAATACGGAGCTCATCGTGTCAGATATTCAAGCCACGGTGAGAGAGGGGAACTCTTGGAGTCCAGAGGCCGCCAGAGGCTGTTCTAAGCATGCTGCGATGTGGGCGGATGTCTACCGAATTTGTGAGAATGCCCCGCGTTTTTTTTCTGGCAGCTAGCGCACCTCTCGCTCGACGAGGTGCTTGAAAAAGGATCCAGCCTACATTGTTGGGCTGGCAACCTGTGGGCTGATTTCTTTGCTCGGCTCGGAGCGGCGTCCCATTCCTAGTCGGAAGGATTCTCGAAGGCCTTGGCGGGGGAATTCAACTACCACAAATCCACGCTGAAGTTTTTAGCTTGGGCCTCCCTGGAGTTGCTTAAAAGTGGTGAGTGGACGGGTGATCTGTCTGAGAAACTTCGGTTGGCCGACTCTTGTGTTGTTCCCAAGGTGCAGATCACCCGTCACTGTCTCTGGAGGTCTGAGACTCGAGGTGAGTGGAGGTGCAAGCACTGTGGACGTTTTGCTCGCACCCCCGCCTCCCTCAAGGCCCTCCTCACTAATCGACACACCCGCGAGTGCGACCCCACTGCTCTCCAGAGGACGGCCACCGCGGAGTGGTTCCTAGGTCACGGGGCCTCGTTTGTCGTGGTGCGCAGTGAGGCTGTGAGTGTGGCTTGTGAGGCCGCAGCGAAGCTGGCACCCGACTCCGAAGCTCTGGAGTCTTTAGAGGCTGGCCCCTCCCAGCCCGTGGGTGACCCGCTGGGACCCATGAGGGATCTCGGCCACGACACCTTTCAGGTGGGGCACCTGTTCGTCTGTCGGCGGTGCTCTGTCCATGGGGTCCCTGCTCATTTCAGAAATCTGTTGAGGCCCTGCAAAGGGCCCAGCTCAGTGGCCTCCACCCGTGCGAACCAGCGCATGGGCATCAGGAGGGCGGAGCGAGGGCTCCACCCGACCACTGGCGTTTCGCTCCTCGGCCCGAGTGGCGCGTCTGATGACCGCGCTTCCGCTGCGGCTGGCGCGGCTGGCCGCGGAGCGGGGTGCGAAGGTAGGTGCCCCTCCCGCCCCTGCTATGTTTGGGGACTGGCGCGGAGGTGCTCACGTTTCCTCCCCTTCCGTGGTGTCACCCAGCGTGATCCCCTCCAGAGGAGACGATGACAGTTCCGATTAAGTTTTGTTCGGCCCCGCCCCCCGTCGTGTCGTCGCCCGCGCCCGCCGCCCGCATACGCCCTCTTCCACTTCGGCGAGACGGAGCGCGGCGCGCAGGCGCCATGACCCACGGGGTTAGGCGGGGCCCCTCCTTGCCCTCTCCCCCTGGCACGCTCGTGCCCCGCGGGAGCTCTTCGAACTCGGACCTCCCAGTCGAGCTTCTGCTCTTCTGCGAGGCGCAACGGTTGTGCCGTCTACTCTGCGGTGTCGCACTAACCTCTACCTGACTCTACCCTACTCGACTCTATATTTCTTTCAAATTCTACTCTGTGCCTGCTCTACTCTGTTCGTCGAGATTGTCGTCGCCGTCGATGTCGTCGTCGTCGTCGTCGGCGTCGTCGGCATCGTCGTCGTCGGCGACGGCGTTGGCGTCGGCGTCGGCGTCGACGTCGGCGTCGGCGTCGTGGTCATCTGGAGTCGTGCGTCGTGCGTCGTCCGTCGTCGTCGTCGTTGTCGTCGCGGTTGTCGTCGTCGTCGTCGTCGGCGCCCGCGCCAAGCGCCAGCTCTCATAGAATGCATCCATGGCACGGTCCATCTCTAATAGAATCCGGCTCAGGCACCACTGCACTTTACCCACCTCTACTCCACATTACTCTACTCTACCGTACTTTGCTCTACTCTACCCTACTCTGCTCGATCATGTGCTACACTGCCCTATTGTATCCTAATAGATTATACTCTACTCTACTCTGCTCCCATTATAATAATATGCTCCTGCTCGGCTCTACCCAACTCTGACTCTACTCTAAATCTGCTCTACTCGACTCTACTCATCTACTCTTCTCTCCTCGACTCTTTCTTTAATTCTATATAAAACTATTCACATGTCCTCTACTCTACTCTACTCTACCGTCTCCCACCGTGTCCCACCCTACTCTACTCACCTCTACTCGACCAGGCTCTACTCCACGATGGCCCTAGAGGACTCCGCGATGGCCCAAAAGGCATCCAACACGGCCCCAAGACGGCGCCAGAGGGCCTCCCGTGGGACCCAAGACAAAGCTAGAAGGCCCTGCGACGGCCCTTCGACGGCCCTTTGACGGCTTCGAGACACCCATCATACGGCCCAGAGGGCCACAAGACGGCTCAAAGGGAACCCCCCCCTGGTGCAGGCGGAACCCGGGACTCCCAAAGGTACACCCAACACTGCATCGCAGGATGCCAAAGCAGTCCCAAGACGGCCCAAAACGAGTTTCATCATCAGCATTCTCATCAATATCACCACCACGACCATCGCCACCACAATCAGCATCAGCATCATCATCATGACCGTCATCATCATCATCATCATCATCATCATCATCATCATCATCATCATCATCATCATCATCATCATCATTATCATCATCATCATCATCAGCAGCATCACCACCATCATCATCATCATCATCATCATCAGCATCATCATCATCATCATCATCATCATCGTGGTCGTCATCGTCGTCATCGTCATGGGCATCATCAGCATCAGCATCATCATCAACACAAACATCACCACCCTCAGCATGATGATCAGCATAATCGCCATCATCAACATCATCAACAGCACCATCTCCATCATAGTCGTCGTCACCCAAATAAGCAAGAACAACATCCTTACCAAAACCACCACCATTATCATCCTCATCACCATCGTCATCATCGCCATTACCATCACCATCACCATCATCATCACAATCGCCAGCATCATCATCGCCAGTATCATCACCATCATCATCAACATAATCATCACCACTATTGGCATCCTCATAATCGTCACCACCACCACAATCACCATCAATATCAGCATCACCATCACCATAACCGTAACCATAATCATCGCCGTCGGCATCATCATCATCATCATCAGCAGCAGCAGCAACGCCGTCATCATTACCATCATCATCATCGTTAACATCCCCACCATCGATCATCATATTCATCACACACGAAGTGTCACCCGTCGCACCTTCCCGCGCTCTCTCGAACAGTCGCCACCCAGAATGTTCCTCTGGCTCGATTGGGGGACTTGCCGCAAGCAGCTTAATATAGTCCCACTTGGGCCCAGTCTTGCCCTTGTGGGACCCTGCTAGGGCTGGATGCAGATATGATAGAACCTCATTCGGGCTCGATCCAGCTTTACTAGACTCGTACTCGGGCTCGATGCAAGTTTAATCGCATATGGCTCGACAGTCGTTCGCTCCGTCGTCTTCGTCGTTTGCTGGCGGCGACGTCGTTGTTGTCGTCGTCGGTGTCGCAGGCGTCTGCGTCGTCGTCGTCTTCCGGCGGCGGCAGCCTAGGGGGTGTGAGGGTGGAGGTGGGTGGGAAGGGAGGGGACGACGACGCCGATGACCACAACCACCACGACGACGCCCACGACGATCAAGACACCTCAACGACGAAACTTGTTATGACGACGACGACGACGATGCCAACCATGACAGCAATGACGAGCAACGGACGACACAGACGGACGACAACGCCGTCGACGGAGCAAGGAGGAGGGGGGGTAACGAAACAACCATTTCGCTGCTAGCGAACAGCGAAAGCGACGACCGACGACGACGTCCCTCTCCCCTTCCGACCCCCATCCTCTCGGTTTATCCTCTCCCTCTTCCACACCTCCTCCTCCCCGCCTTCCTCTCCCCCCTCCCCCACCACATTCAATTTTGTGTCGGCAATCAGCGAGTGCCGCTCGCCACTCCTCACTTCAAAAGATCGGTCGTGTCGTCATCACGAGTCATATCTCCTACGGCAGTAGGGTCCGGAGAATACTCTCGAAATCCAAAGGCAAATTCTGGTGAAACATGTAAGGGTGAGGAGCTCGGAGGGTCTGGAGAGGGAGGGGGGGAGGGGAGGGGGGATCCCGAGCCCTCCAAGAATTTTCCCAGGAGGAGGGAGGGGGGTCTCCCCAATGTGTTCTCCCAGGGGGGGGAGGGGGGGGCTCTGGAGCACCCCTCAAAGATTTTCCCGGCGGGGGGCGGTTTCTGGAGCCCGGAATGATTTCTCCAGGGGGGGGTCTGGAACCCTCCAATGATTTTCCCGAGAGGGGGGGGGAAGTTCGGACCCCCCCTCCTCTGGTTGTGTGGGGTGGTGGGATTGAATGCCCCCCTGCCAGCATCGGCAGAAAGCGCTGTTTCTATGATACTAAACTCACACGCTGGAACAATCAAGTGTGAAGCGCGGAAAAATGTGCAACGCATGCGCAGCAAAACCACTGCACTGAATAACACGTATGTGAATGTGTACCTCCTGACTACGGTGGTTGGCGCTGTGGGCACCGCATCCTTCCTGAACCTCCCTACCACTCTCCCAACAGGTATGCGAAATCCCAAGCTCAAACTCTAGCCTGCAGTATAGCATACTGGAAAAGGATGAAGCAATACAAAAAGGAGAACCCCCCCGCGCGATC